GGAGGGTGAGGATTTGGGGGCATTTCTACATCCTCCTAAATCCCCAGTACAGTGATGAGTACTATAGGTGCTCAATAAATACTTGTTGAATCAAGTGCTGCATAAAATATAAAATGTCCTTTTAAATATGTAGCTGGATTCCCCCAAAATTTAGGAAAATCTTCAGGAGTTGGAATTAATTTCAGAAGTGAACATCAGAGCAGCAGAATCTGTGCTTTAGGTAAGCAGGTTAGGGGGATGGTTGCCAGAATTGATAGCCCAGAGCCTTGTTATTAATAGCTGCACAGGGACAGAGCCTTGGGCCCAACACAGAGAGAACAATGATCCAGAGCCCCCAAGGGCTGCACACTGTGTAGGTCTCACCCGAGAGACATCTGCCTGCTGGTAGAGGGAAGCTTGTCTACCAACATGAAGTCTCCCCTGCATAATCATACTGACAGCTTCACCAGCATCGGCTTTGAACTGATGTCACCTGGTGGTCCTAGGAGTCCCCAAGTCCTATGAGTCCCCAACTGATGTCACCTAGGAGTCCCCAAGAAAGGAAAGTTCATGTTCTGTCACTGGCTGCTGCAATCGCAAACCCCATCTGGAGGTACATTCTCAATCCACATTACATACAAGATCACACCTAACTCCCCACTGAAGATGAACTCACGATCCAAAACTGCAAACCCGCAAGCCAAAAATAAGCACCTGGAGTGACAGTCAGGTGATGGCCAACAGCAGGATTCAACTCCAAGACAGACCTTCAGATTCTAGAGTATCAGATAGAGACTACAAAGTAAGTGTGTTCACAAGTATGAAAGGCAAGCCAACAAGAGAAAAGATTAAGTCGTTGCTGTAAAGGACCACACATGTTAAAAAACAGTAAAGTAGTTCTCTTAAAAATAAGAAATTAGTCACTGGAGTAAAGAAATGCTTCTTTTCAGAGAGAACTGGAAGCCTGGCTCAGTAGATAAAAGTCTATAGTAATTGTCCCTAATAATGAGCAACTCAAAGAGGCAAGAATATCCTCAGTAGTTCTTGATTTCTTGAAAGTAGGATGAGCTTAAATTTCTAGCTTTCAAAAATTTTATCAGAAGTTGGTGAATCCCCAGTGTCTCTGATTTTCTGTTTCCATCCTTCCTGTGACCTCCTGGTCATCCCTTGGGCTAAAGGAAGAGATCTGCTCTTTCCTCCCCCACCAACATTTCCTGTTCTTGGGGCATGATTTTCAGTCATGACAACCTAAGTCACATCCGATTAGGATGGGTGAACAGTATCCTCCGTGAGAAAGAACAGATGAGCTCATCAGAATGAACCAATAGGATGACATCTATTTTTATTGTGACCATCACTCTGGTCCCTGGGTTTATGAACCCCTATCCTCAAGTAGCATAAACACGTGGGTGAAACATCATGCTTTGATTTTAACAGTGCCCGAGATTTTTAATATAACTGTTTCCATTTCTTAGAAAATACACTTTATTTATTTATTATTTTTTTATAATTTTTTTTATTTATTTATGATAGTCACACACAGAGAGAGAGAGAGGCAGAGACATAGGCAGAGGGAGAAGCAGGCTCCATGCACCGGGAGCCCGATGCGGGACTCGATCCCGGGTCTCCAGGATCGCGCCCTGGGCCAAAGGCAGGCACCAAACCGCTGCACCACCCAGGGATCCCGAAAATACACTTTATTTAAAAAAATAGTAGCTCTGACTTCTCTATCATTACCATTTGGACATAAAAGGCACAAAAGACAGGCTTTTACTAATAGGTAGACTTTACCAATAAAGGGCATTAAAAAAAGATTTCTTAAACTATTTTTGAGCTAACATGTAATAAGCAGATCTTTGTGCAGTTCCTCTTAAGCTGTGCATGCAATTGAAAGGATGTTCCTAGTCCCTGAAGGCACCCCACCCCTACTTATCCTGAGTGCCCAGGGCAGGACTGCCCAGAGGAAACAAATACACTCTCTGTGGGGCAGGAAAATCTCTACTAAGAAAGCCTATGAGCAAATTAATGCCTCAACCTGGAATGAACTGAATGGGCAATGAATCTCAGAGATGACTGGTGTGAGCTGGCCATTCTCAACTTGATCATAATCACCAGCTCTGACCACCCCAGCATTTGAAAAAGCTGTCCAGCAGCTGCTGTGGTAGCAGGGCCACCTCTGGTGCACCCTGGTTCCCTTCTCTCAGCCTGGGTGGTGGGGACTGTGGTAGTCCACGTTCGGGTGACAGGCAACCACTACGCACCTGTCTCCCAGGTGAGAGACGAGGGCGGCCGGGGTTGCCCATCACAGATGACCCCAGAGCCCAGGGCAGGACCTCAGGGGAGCTGCCGCGGACTCACTCCACTGCTGCAGTGCCCGCACGTACTGTGTCGTCCGTGTGTGTTCCTGGCTTGTCCAGATGTCTGTCCTGCGTCTTCACGTCAGGCAGAGTTCTCGCCTCCACTAAACCCCTTCCTTTATCCCACCGATCAGCTCAGGGGCCCCCCTGTTTTACCTGAACAGAGTGTATCGCTAGAGGAGCTGCAGGGTCAGCTTGCGCAGGCGACCAGACTGCATCAAGAGGAGACAGAGAAATTTACAAACAAGATTCGGAAGGTAAATATGTAACACGATTTCAGCACGGCCAGGGCTCTGAGCGTGGAGCCCCTTGGAGGCACATGACAGGATGTATTTGCAAGAGAGCTGTCTATTGCACACAGGCTCCTGGACTCCCGGGCTCCCAGGGCTGGAGGATCATCCAGTTGAGCTGCCCCTCAGACATCTCACAAAGAGAACTGTCCACCTTCCTCCTCTAAACCATGCTTTTCAGTATTTACATTGTGGTCTTGGGAAGTTCTTCCTAACATCTAACCCATGTTTTCCTGCAGCCATAGCCAGCAAATATAGGCCTTAATTAAGGACCTGGACAGGGAAATGTGTCCATAACTTTTGTTGTCCTGCAGATTTGTAAACTTGCTCAATGTTAGGTAAATTTTCTGATAGGAAATAACAACAACTCACCCTAAATGGTGGTCTTCAGAAAACTGCCATTAATTGAACTGCAGCTTTGTTGACTTTTCTAGCTTATCTTAGAATAACCTGTTGCTGGCCAATTACCCATTATCTGTTAAATCCTTTCCCAGAGTTGCTAGGAGAAGGGATTGGTAGACACAGGCACTCATTTCCTAAATAATTTAACTTTTTTTCCTGCACCAAAAATCATGTTAAAGAAGTGAGTTTATCCCTGCAGATGCTAATAGCAAAATGGCAAGGTCCCAGGTGTGTCTATACTTGAATTTAGGATAAAAGGAGTGTGTTGGAGATTGGGCTGCAAACCTTGTTTGGAGGGGGTGAGAGGTCATCCTGGCTTGTTCAGAGGCAAACGGTCCGGTCTGTGTTCCCTGACGTGTCCCAAGGGAAGAGGACCGACTCTTGGGCCTTGGGAAGTGCTTAGAGTCATGGAACAGGAGGAGGCAACCAGGGCAGTGGGGAAGTCAGAGCCAGGCAGGAAGGAACATTTCCAGGAGGCTGCAAATGAGAGGGCGAGAGAACATCCCTTCCCCGGGCTGCGCCTCCATAGAGTAAGACTCCAGTGTCTCTGGCCTACCTGCCATGAGCTAGGCGCTCACTCTTCACATCTTGAGTTAGCTTCCTTTTGCTACCTAGAAAACTGAAGCCTTCCTAGTCAGTGGATGACCTGACGTAATTCTGCAAGTAAATTGCAAATGCTGATTTCCAAAATGGTATGTTACCCCCTCTCCCCAGTTATCCTGCTCTTGTGCCCACAGGGATAGGAACACATGGTGGGACTCTGAGAGCTGCCAAGATGATGAATTAAAATCACCACTATTTTGTGTTATCTCAGCTTGAAGTGAAAAAAAAAAAAAAAAGATCTGGTATTATGACAGTGGCACACAAGTGTCTGTGCAGACCCGGGACCTTCCCAGAGCTACCTCTCACTCTTCACTGGTGTTCACATGTAGGGCGTATTGGTATTGACCTCAGGCAGCCATAGTCACATCCTCATGGTTTCTGAGCCCTAATCCAGTACTTTGGGAAAACAAGACAAAACAAAACTCAACGCCTTGGGTTTTGGCCAAGAGAGAGTGTTGAATTAGGAGAGGACAGCTGATAACTACAGGCTGGCATTCAAACCCCTTTTTTGGGGGGGTCTGTGGAACAGAAAGCTGTCATCCTGTCACTTTAGCTACTATAGATATTATTCTTGTGCCCTTATCTGTGCAATAAGATTTTATTCACACCCCTTTGCTTAGTCATTGTGGACATAATCATTGTTTATTGCTTGGAAGAGTGCCTGTACCGACCTTGAAAAGCAGGAACTTAACATAGAAATGGAAAACTCTGCTTTTTCAGCATGCTGTATTTCCCTAAGAGTTACTTGTAGCTAATAGGACTGTGAAGTCCTAAGTGTGGAAGGAGGTTCTCAACTTACTTTCCTATTTGTCCACCATATGAGGCAGAGGGCCTTGTGTCCAGGAAAACCCTACTGCCCCCACCCCCCTCCCCGACCTGCCTCTCTCCCACTCTCTGTGGGCCCCTCCATCAGCTTGCTCCTGGGAGCTGTGTGCACCAGTAAGCTCAGGAAGCCAAGGGGAAGAGTTTCCACTTAGCCCCCCCCCCCACCTTACAATTACAGTGTGTCTTTTGCAAACCCACAGACAGAGGGCAAATGGAATCGGCATGGAAGTCAGCTGTAAACCATATATCTGAGAATCAATTTTCCTGAAGAAGTTTAGAGGCATCCCAAAACACCACAAGAGACTTGACATTGAGAACTTATTAGAACACCTTAGTTTGAAATAATGTTTGCTTCTGAACCAGAAAAGCCTTGAGGTTTTCTAAATAGTAAGTACACATCTCAGGGAGTTTGCTGAATTTTAAGGGCCTCTATGTTTCATGTCCCAGGTGCAAAATGATAAAGATTGAGTAGCATTTTGCAAAGACTTGTTTTGAGTGGCAAATCAGAAGAGCTGTTGTCATGCTGTCTCTCTTTCCCCTCAAGATGGAGGAGGAGCACCTGTACGCCTTGAGGTGGAAAGAACTGGAAATGCACAGCCTGGCTTTGCAGAACACCCTCCATGAGCAAACCTGGAGTGATGAGAGGAACCTGATGCAGCAGGAGCTCCGGTCTATGAAGCAGAACATTTTCCTTTTCTACGTCAAACTCAGATGGCTGCTGAGGCACTGGCGACAAGGGAAGCAGATGGAGGAAGAAGGCGAGGATTTCACTGAGGTACCTGCCCCATCCCTGCCCCTGGAGAGTTCAGTTTATTTGCATCCCTTTTGTTCTTGACCACTAGGCTCTGCTGTCCCTCTGCACCCTACACACAGAGGTCATGTTCTGTTCACATTCTTTCCTCAAGTCCAGTCTGGGCAAGGGAAGTGCCACAGGTTGTCCAGTTCTATATCAGACCAAGAATTCTGTGCTGTGACTTTGGCCTCGTCTTCAGAGTCCTGGTGTCTGACTCCACTATGCAGCAAGGATGTGCCTGCAAGGATTTCTTCTGTTGCTATGAACTCTTCTGTTGCTATGACCTATGAACTCCTGAAAGTTGTCACCCTGAGGTCCTGTCAGTCTCTCATGCTGCCTTGCTCATTTGTCAAACCTAGTTCTAAATCTTTCTCTCTTCTCTCCATTTCAGTTTTGTTCTTCAGTGCTAGAGCCCTTCCTGCCCATGCAGTTTGCTAAGGGTCTTCTCTGCTAGGTTCCAGATGGGTCAGAGTTTTGCCACCTCTGGAATTTGCATCTGTGCTCCTTCTTATGCCTCCATCCCCAGATTCATCACAGAACCAGAACAGAGTCATTTGCTTTGTGATTGATTCTCGTTGATTCAGTCAATGTGACCCCTAGCTCTGCAAGCTGCTTTGGGCCTTGCCTTCCAACCGCTGCTGCCAGGTGTGTTCTAGACATCCACACACCTGGCTCCTTTGTCAGCTACTTCAAGGCATCATAAACGCTGGCTTCCTTTTAGCTCCCAAGGACCTATCTGCTTTCCACTGTATGTAATGTTAAGTCGTCCTTTGAAGGGGAAGATACATTGATTCTCTTTCTTCAGGGAGGAAGGAAAGTCTTCCAAAATTAATTCAGCCTGCTTCCAAATAGCCATGACATAGAAAACCATCATTAAGCCAAGCCTAGATGTGATTATAAAGTCTCCTGCTGATCAGTACTTTGGAGTTCCTCTTCCTCTAGCTTATAAAACCATAACTATAATCAATAATTATAAATCATAAGATGTTTCATTATCAGATTAACTCACAAATGATAAGATTAGAAGATTAGAAAATCTTTTTCTAATCTTTCACAGTTACGTACCGACTGTGTGCTATTTAAGTGAAGAAGTTGGCCAGCAAGTGCAATGGGCTAAATGGGCATATTTGGAAAAGGGCTGAGAAGTCAAGATTGATAAGCTAGAAAGTGGAGAATGACCCTCTAATAATAAAAACCAGGCTGTACAGCAAAGGATTTGGGTGGAGGTGAGATCATTGTCTCCTGCTGTTTTCAGAGCGAGCATCCAGAGACCCTCCCCAGGCTTGGTGAGCTTGGAGGGCAGGGGGACCCGAAGGGGGACGGCCCAGACCAAGATGACAACAGTCCAGGCTGCGGCTTTCCGCTGGGAGAGCATCCTCCACACTCCCCTGTGCAGATTGGTGACCACGGATCGAGACTACAGCCTACACATGGGAGACAGCTCCACAGGCAGGTGAGTGTCGAGGTCCCACACCTGGGTGAGGACACTCCTGGTCTATGTCTGCGTTGTCTCATTTTATGTGCTGGTGTTCCACAGAGCAGAAAAACTCTGACTGCCTATAGTTGTTAGTTGCTGTATTTGTGCTGGAAATCATATCATTAAGACTTGATTTCAGTGTCAGCCCATGAGTTCATTTGGCTTACATGCATAAATAAGGAGCATAGTAGGATCAGATCAATTGGAGATTGGAACAGGTATCGGCAGCATCACCAGTTTGGCAACATAATGCATAAGAAGGAAAGAAAAAGTATTTTCATTTTAATTCTAAACATGTATAAAGTGTTTTAGGTTCTTTGGGGCCACTTGAAGTAAAAATATTTGATGACACTTAAAAAAATCAAAGCGTATATAGAGATGGGATTTCAGTGTATATAATATGAGATCATCATTAACATTGCCAAAGCCCACGTTTATTTATTAATTATTAAGCAGATAGCCGCTGCTTACTAAACCAAAAGATACTATTGATGCCACCCAGATTTTTTGCGCTTCTCTACAAAACAGCAGCTGTGTTGGGTTTGGGGTGCTGAGACCCTAGGAGGGACCCAGTGTTAAAGCTTCCTTGCTCCCAGACCTTCTGGTCTGAGTCCTTTCTGACCTTATGTTGCTTCTTTGAGGGTGCTGTAGGGCAGACCCGGAGGCCCCAAGCCCTAAGCCATTGGCTCTGGGGTGACGGGCAGGACCGGGTGGCCCTGAAGCACACAGTTAGCCCGGGTGTGGCCATGGCCACTCAACCGCAGACATTTCTGGGCACTCCCTGTGTGCTGGACGCCACAACTGTGGCTCCTCCCTCAGCCCAGAGCCTCAGAGGGTCAAGTGGTAGAGGGCTGTCATCCGAACTGTGGCTCAGATCCAAAGGAGAAAAGTCATGATGTCTGAGCACAGGGTCCAGAGGATATGTGTATTTCCCCCCTGCCTGCTTTCTCTTTGCAAACAAATCAGGTTTTCACAACTGAAGAGTTGTTTTCTATGCACACCCATCCACCCTGCATTTTCCCTGAATAATATGACTCAAGAAAGAGGTTATACTTTCAAATGGATGTTTAATTACAGTTATTAGGAAGTTTGTCATTGTGCCAGTGTCCCTGGGGAGATTTTGGCTCCTAGAATGAGTTTTCCAGCAATTGATCTAGTTAGAAAATAAAATGCTACTTCACAAATAATCCTCTAAAGCGTACCACTTTTATTATTTTTAAAAGAGATGTCAGTTCTATAAAAGATCTGCGATTAACTCAAATAGCTTTCACTGATTGCCACTCAGCCCTAAACCTGCTGCATCTGAGGTCATGTGTTGGGTGTTTCCCACGCATGTGTCCAGATGCATGGGAAAAGGGGAAAAATGTAACACATCTGGTTTTCTAAACAATTCTCATGGAAAATGTTACCCTGGGGGTGGAAAATAATGTAAAGTCACTCAGCTGGAACCTCCCATTCAGTATATTTTAATGTCATCTCTCTTTGCCTCCTCCTTCCAAAGCTGATGTTTTTACTGTCCCCCTCAAAAGTAGAGATGGAGCTGTGACTTCCCACTTTGCACAATGTGCAGTAGAGGCACATGGGGTGCCTGCAGGGTATGGTGGGGACAGGTAGAATCATGCCTGTCATGGCCCCATCCATCCATCTGTAGGAGTTAAATGCACAACGCTGTCCATCAGAAGACAGGAGATTAATGAGCTCTACTGTACAACAGCTGCTTGCCTGGGAGTGAACATTCTCAGTTAGCAGATTTGCCTTGCCCTTTCGTGGCATGGGTATTAGCGAGGCAGCCTGCCTGCAAGAGCAAGAACACGTGTCCCTGAGAGCCTCACCCTTTTCAGAAACTCTGAGAACCTGCCAAGGTGATAAGCAGAATGGGCAACATGGCCTACCTCCCTTCCCAAGGCGAAATTGGCAAGTGACACAATTTCCCAGGCCTTGGTCTTTGCCCTGTGTCCTGGTGAACATTGGCACAGCTGAACACAGTTGATGGCAAAATGTATCCCATCCAGAGAGATTAAAAAAAAAATGTACTCGTATCAAGTCGTCCTTGGAAATAGTTCATAAAAAATTATCAGGTTGGAAAATGTTCGGCTCTGTGAATGTGCCCTATTGACTGATTTTTAGTTACAGAACCAGCGATCTAGCCATAGCAACCCAATTGTCCTCGAGAACAGAAAGCACTTTCAGTTTGCCCAGCCTTCTGGAAGAGCTGGTAAATATGCAAAAGCTTACTGTATAGTTTTCAGTGAGCTCCAGGATGCTGGCCACTTACGTTAAGCTTTTGAGACCTAAGTCTACATATGCATTTTATGCTTTCTAGTAATTCCTGAAATCAAGATTTGTTTTGTTTTGTTTTTTGTTTTTTGAAATCAAGATTTTTTTAAAAGATTTTATTCATTTATTCATGAGAGACACAGGAGAGAGAGAGAGAGAGAGAGAGAGAGAGGCAGAGACACAGGCAGAGGGAGAAGCAGGCTCCATGCAGGGAGCCTGACGTGGGACTCGATCCTGGGTCTCCAGGATCACACCCTGGGCTGAAGGCAGTGCTAAACTGCTGAGCCACCTGGGCTGCCCTGAAATCAAGATTTTTTAATGCAAGGTGACTATAGTGCCAGGATTATGGCCCTGGGCCTCCACCAGCTAATAATCTGTGTATTGGATTAATTTACTCAAAGAGAAGTTACTTTTTCACCCAGGGATGTGACACAATATTCTTTATTAAAGCACCTGTGTACATATATAGGACCTAATTTAAAATTCAGAGCAAGAGGGACGCCTAGGTGGCTCAGCGGTTGAGTGTCTGCCCTTGGCTCATGTCATGATTCTGGGATCAAGTCCCACATCGGGCTCCCCGCAGGAAGCCTGCTTCTCCCTCTGCCTGTGTCTCTGCCTCTCTCTCTCTCTCTCTCTCTCTCTCTCTCTCTCTCTCTCATGAATAAATAAATAAAATCTTAAAAATAAAATCCAGAGTAAGAGCTAATGAAATTATGTTTCATGTTACTCTGCAACTACAGCTGGTCACTAAAGAGTCTCCCTCAGGACCCAGCTCTAGGACCGAGTAGAGTCTGTTCCTTTGGACCTTTGTCACTCATGCATCCAGGACTCATCTAGAGCTTAGGGCCTTCAGAAGCTCCCCTCAGTAAAAGTCAGCCTCTCTCCCATAGACAGAGTGCCTTTGGCTCCCTAGGCCTCCCAGATGTCACCCCACCTTGGTGCCCATGCTTTTGCTTTGCCCAAGATGCGGAAGCTTTCAAAAAGAGCACTTCTACCAGACAAGGCCTATACATCAGAAATATGATCTCCTGACCTTTTCTTTTCTCCTCTTGAGCCTGGATCACTTTTACCTTCAATTTTGTATGTTGTATCATGATTTATTCTTCAGACTCTACAGCTTTATAACCTCACCTAGGAGACAGGCAACTCTCCATAAAAGGAACCAGATCAGAGCTTATAGTTATGAAACATTTTATGTTTGCTGTGTGTTTGTGTTTATTCTGTTACCACACAAATAGCAAGGGCATAGGAGTGAAGAGCCACAAGTACTAGGAGGCTACTCAGGAAAGGGGTCTCTCTACCTCCCAGCATCAGCCATGGTCAGCAGTTTATGACCTGCTTTTCTGAGTGTGTAACAAACCCTAAACCTCGCACATAAGTGATTTATTCACATCCGGTCACTTGATTTTCACCACACCTGCTCTGATTTCTTTGAAGCCTTTGGCTGATAACTTGGGATTATAACTTATTGAATAGGATGTGAGGTCCCTCTCTTTATAAGTATGAAATAGAAACTATGCCTGTGTTGGGGGTCAGGGACAGCTACCATAGCATTCTAGAACTCCTGACTAGCCTACGTGAATAGGAATTAGAGGCTCTCTGGCTTTCTGTGGGTCAACCCACAGCAGCTGGTCAATATACAATATATAAGCAAAGTGGTTGATGGTAGTTTAGCTCTTTCTCAGAACTATGAAACACATTATCTTATAAATCTTAGGTAAGAATGATTTTATCAAATAGCTGGCATTGCATCACAAATATCTTGGTGTGTTACCTTTCCCAGAAACTTCCTTTTCACTTTCTATTAATATTTATTGTATATTTGAGTAGCAGTCTTACTGGCTGAAGCCCAGCCTTGAACCTTTTATAAAGTTTACCATTTTATAGCACTGTCAAGCTCCTGATCCCAATTTTGGGATTATTTTAAGCACCCAAGAGAGATGAGCTTGGAAGGGCTGAAATGCTCTTAGCCTGAGGAAAAGGGAATGGTGAGGCCATTTATCCTGCTTCTTTGCAAGAAGACCAACCAGCTGATCTTGGAGAGGTTGAAAAATTGGTCTTCTTACTTGAAATTGGCCTGTATTTAACATATATAAACTAAAAGGTTGCATAATTGGGCCCCTGGCACAGAAGGTTCAGAAAGCTCTGTGTCCAAGACTTTAACCCAAAGACCTCTAAATGGCCCAGAGAATCTTCATTCCATTCTTAACTTGATTAGGCTCATCTTTTTACCCAAAATATTACTCAGCAATGGCCCTCACAGGGAGAAAAAGTAAGGCAAGTAACTTTTAGGCATTCTTTCAGGATAGCTCACTAATATTATTTCCATTGATATTGGGGGGGGGGATTTGTTTCCAGAGTTTAGGTGGCTTCTTTTAAGGCAAAATTAAAAAAAAATAATAAAAAATAAAAAAATAAAACAAAACCTGGGTAGAGTATAATGCCTGAATTTAGAGATCTTGGCTTGTTTTGTCCAGCCTTGATGGGACAGACCTGGACTGCAGCCCATGCTCTCAGCAGGAGACCCTATCTATGCTATGTTGCTGCACGCCCTAATTCCTCCTCTGTAACACAGGAAATGGAATAGTATGTGCCCAGGATTGATGGGAGATGCAAGTAAGGTTGTGTAGTTGAGTGATTGGCACACCTGATCTAACACACCCTCTGTTAGAAACAATTAGTATTACTTTTCATTACTGGGCTTTTTGTATGCAAAAAAGTTTAGAAGCATCATGCCCAGCTGAGTCTTCAGACATTTTTATTTGCACATCAGACTTTGGTGTTATATACCAATGGCAGAGAACTAGTCTGGCTTCTTGCCATGTCACATGCCGTTCCTGGGTGATTATATAACAAGTACCAATAATATCGATTCTGTGGACTCCCTTGCTTCCTTTGGCCACCTTCATCCCAAAGCAAGTTTTGAACTCATTCCAGGATGATTAATATTATACTGGGATAATGGCACATTATGTTGATGATTCTGATGCAAATGTGCATGAAAACATTACAGCTTAATTTTATTTAATCTGATATTTCCTAATGCCAGAAAGTACTTACTTCCAGAGGAACCAAAATTTCAGTCTGCAAAAGACTGTTATGTGAATTCCTGCTTTAGAGGACCACAAATCTCCTAAGGTTATCTGAGCAATTTGATGTGGGGCTAAGAACCCCTCAGGCTGACTACATTCACAAAGTGGGATCTGTAGGGAGGTATTAATCACATACAAGAACTGATGACCTGGTTTTCTGCTTTTTCTTCAGCGAGAATTACATGACTACTCAGACTAGATCAAAATATTCCCGTTACTTTATGCTTAAAATACTTTGACTTAAAAAGTAGTGATGTTTTAAAATTTTTAAATCCAAAGATGAAAATACCAAGTAAATCAACTATAAAATATAGTTTTTCAAACAAATTCTGTACTCAAAGAGATGTGTATTTCTGAAAAGATTTTTGCAACACTTCTTCTCACTCACCTCCACTTAGAAGATTTTTAAATACTTTTGGTGTGGAGTTGAAAGAAAATGTTCTGCATTTATTACAGTTGTACACATATCCTGAGCACCTCTTTGAGTGCAGTGGTAACTTACTTTTATTCGGTGGTTGGAAGGAACGTGTAGGAGTTTTAGAAGGTTCTCTAGCTGCTGAATCTTGCAAATGCTAACTGGATTATACTCTAACTGGCTTTAGTGTCAGAGCTAGTAAAGTAAAAATTGGTGATTAAGGGGAAGAACACCCAAAAAGCAATAAATGTTAACAAATAGGCCTTTCTACCACATATAGTATTATAACTCCAGACAAATTACAGGGAAAACTGGGGAATTTTCAGGAATAAATCTGCTCATGTTAAGGAGTTTCTCTTTTCTAATTCAACTTTATTTAAATCCAAATATAGGGCTAGCCAGAGAATCTTAAATTCTTCCCAAGTGTGGCTGTCCATTTTTATCTACATGCAGGTGTGTTTAGGGGATTCATGAGATGGTTTTAGGAACGTGACAGGCCCTCCACATGGTGGAAGAGAGCTGGAGGCACTATCCTACTGCCCTTGGCATGAGAGGTTTATCAAGCAGAGAGGAGTCTCTCTGAGAGCAAGGGGCTCTGTGTTCCCAAATTTGAGACATTCTGATTCCAGCAGGACTGGGAGTGCTTTGATTCTCCCTGCCTTGTAAATGCACCAACCAAGATTGTCCTGGGATCAGGGCAGCTGGGAACTCATGATGCACTTTCAGTGTTTTCCGTCAGATTGGAAGAGATGAGCTCGTGGGGCTTTTATCATCGAGGTACCATAACTGGTTCAGTATTTAATTCACTTGGATGAACCTTTCTGAAAGCATGCCCATGCTGAGACGTACTAAGATAGTAATCGTGGTTTTGAAATGGGCTTTCAAAGGGCAGGATGAATTTTAGAAAATAAAAAATCTTTTACATTAGGTATAAGCAGATCAGTGATAGAAATCCCTTTTTCATTTATCTGACCTGTTTGCATACTTCACATGAGCTGAGCATTGTGTGAGACACTGGAAATACAGGAGCGGATCAGTTTGCATCTGTCCCCTATGCACTCACAGCAGTGATGGAGTGGCCCCAGGCGGCACAGGAAATCAAGCAGGTGTGTGGCTATTTGTGCTGTTGGTACAGCAGAAAGGAGGGGCATGGTGATTCCATCTCAGGACCGTGAGGAAGCCCTCATGAACAACTCAAGCACTTACATTTGGCTTTGATTAAAGCTCACAGTGCCCTTTGCCCTGTGGCCATACTTACCCATCCAAGTCAGAATATGACCACCCAATGTTTATAAGAGACACAGAGTGTTTATTCCCTTCTGGTTTGATGGCTGGTATCAAAATGACAGCATCGACAGGTGTTTATGTCTTGCCAGATCTGCATCCCCAAGCGTAGCTTTGGATGTATGAAGTCATGTGGAGCATTCTGGTAGCTCTGGTTTCTGGGTTCCCCGTGCCCTCCTGCAGCTACCTCCTTCCTGCTTCCGGCCCAAGTGCCGGACCCCGTCCTCCTATCCCACCAGTCCCTGAGGGGTCTCAGCTCCAGAGTCCAAGCACTGGCAACATAGGAACCCACCCCCACCCCGGCTCCGTCCCACTAACTGCAGACTTTCCACTTGTTCTGCACCCATTATGATGGCACCTTGCGCACAACCCAGCACCACCTTGACGCCCTAAAGAATACCCTTGCATGAGTGGCACAGCCAACCCTGTGTTTCCTCCCGCAGGTGGTGGAAAACCAGCAGCTGTTCGGTGCGCTCAAGAGCCTGCTGGAGGACCTGCGTGCTGAGCTGCGGGAGGACGAGCACGCGCGGCGGCGGCTGCAGCAGCAGTACGCCAGCGACAAGGCTGCCTGGGACGTGGAGTGGGCCGCACTTACGTGCCGCCTGGAACAGGTGCCTGCCTGCGGGGTCTGCCCTGGGTCTCCCCAGCTCCTCCTCTGCCATCTGGGCCAGGTGGGGAGAAGGCACAGCTCTTCAGAACCATGGCGATCTTTACAGTTCCTCAGATCCTCCAGGGGGAAAGCGGGGAACAGCTGCCTGCTTTGTCTCCTTAAAATTCCCAGCCTTGGGGTGCCTGGGGGGCTCAGCCGGTTAAGTGTCTGACTCTTGATCTTAGCTCAGGTCTTGATCTCAGTGTCATGAGTTCAAGTCCTGTGCTGGAGCCTACTTAGAACACACTCACACAACTTCCCAGCCTTTCCAAGGCACCTCCTTCTCTCCTATTCACTGTCCCAAGTGTGAAACACAGTCTCCACTGAGCACCTTTTGACAGTAGCATTTATTTTCCCATTCTGCATTGAACAAGTCTGTATTTAGCCCCCTCAAAGGACAGTCAGGGTGAAGTGGTGATCAGAACACACGGACTTAGTTCAGATAGGTGCAAAGAAAATGCAGATTGTGACTTCAGTTATCTTTGGAAAAGGAAAACATTTAGATTCCTTTAGATTTCCCCAAACACTGAAAAGAGTTTGTAGGCCTTCTACTACATGCCCGAGAAGTCTGATCAGTTTCCGAGTCTTTATTTCCCCAGGAGGAAATGGAGGCCCAGAGGAAGTGGCTGATCTCAGATCATGGAGACTTTAGTGCTCGAGTGGAAAGAACGGAGTACTGCCTCCACCCTCCCAATAGACCAGAGCCTCCTCAGAAATTTTAGGCCATGGCCATGGTTGTAAGGTCAGATGTAGCCAGAAACATTCTTTTCTAAGTGTTTTCTCCCTGAAAACCCTTAAAAGCAGGATCACCTCCTGCCCTGAGTCTCCCTGGAAACCCCTAAAATCGGTATCACCTCCTCCCCTCAGATTGTTTCTCCAGGTTTCTTTCAGCCCCTTGATCATGATGGGAAGAAAAGTCTGTACATCCTTGATCATCGACTTTCTAAGCCTTAATTTGAGGCAAATCCTAAAGTAATTAAAATTTTATATGAATTGGCTAGAAAAGAAAAGAGAACAGAAATTGCCCAGAAAGGAGACATCTTCCAAATGGCCTTGATAAAAGCTGAAAGTGTCTGTCATGCCAAAAGAAAACAGCTCCCTTGGTACTCATAGGTTCAACTGCATTGCCAGCTGGGCAGGGGGAGCAGTGGATTCAGACTTATAGTCCCAGGTAGAGTGGAGACATTGTCTTCTCTGCAGAGGAAGCAGCAAAATGTAGCAAAACCAAAGCATCAGGCCAGGCTGGTAGAGCTGCTGACCCAGTTATGAATCCTGCCTACTTGCCTGGTAGAAGATTCTTACTAGATGCTCTGTTTATCTTAGTGCACAGCCTGAAGAGTCAGCAGTGGAGGAAAAATGAGTAAGGATGCTCTCCGGTGAGCTGCCTTGAAATCTATTTTAAAATATGTTTATGGGGGAGAAAGCTAAATATTTTCAAAAATGTTAAGGGTAGCTAAAGAAAGGAGGCCTAATCTTTGATATGAGCCAATTTCAAAATATTTCATCTTTGTTTTAGAGAAACCTGTATCCACCCACACATGTGCTACTCATCAAGCCTCAGGGAGAATCACTAGGCACCAAGAAATAAAATTAGGACTTCAAACCTAGAAACCAGGTGGTAATAGGTAAAGATTCATCTTCCGCCCAAATCATTCAGAAGTTTCTTGAAACATTTGCAGCCCAGGGAGCAATGAAGGTGAGCTGAAGCTAGTTCATTTATAATACTCCCATCTTTACTCTCTTCTACTTAAAAGCAAAAGAGGTGAATTCTACCAGAAGTTAAGTATTTTATCTCTGTGGAGACCATGTTGTTTCCATGGCCAAATCTGTGATTCCTTTAATTAACTCTCAAGTCAGGCCTTGTTCTAGATGCCAAGGATCCAGCAACAAGAAGGTTATTTTTTGAGGGACTCTCAGTGCAATGGGAGACCCAGACGAGGGCTTTAATTTATAATAGTGTAATGAGTGCCCTGCCAGACCTGCACACTGTGCTGTCAGGAAATAGGGGTGTGTGGGCCAGACACCTCAGTCTGAGGGCTCAGAGAGGGGTTGCTTGTGAAAGTCCTGATTAGAATGAATCTCAGAAGATGAATAGGAATGGGTACGTGGAAAAGGAGAGAAAGGACGTTTCAGATAACAAAAGCATAATGAGCAAAGGACTAAGCATATCTGAGGAGCTGCACCGGGTCAGGTATGCAGGAAAAGAAGAATGCGTGAAAGATTGAAACATTAATCCTGATTGCATCATGGAAGTAAAGCATCCTGATTGACATTTTTAAAAGATTATTCTGGCTTCAAGGAAGAGAATGGATTAGAAACCATTAGAATTGAATGGAGTCAGGAACAAGACAGGGATGTCCACTCTCACCACTGCTATTCAACATAGTACTGGAAGTCCTAGCCTCAGCAATCAGACAAAAAAAAGACATTAAAGGCATTCAAATTGGCAAAGAAGAAGTCAAACTCTCCCTCTTCGCCGATGACATGATACTCTACATAGAAAACCCAAAAGTCTCCACCCCAAGATTGCTAGAACTCATACAGCAATTTGGTAGCGTGGCAGGATACAAAATCAATGCCCAGAAATCAGTGGCATTTCTCTACACTAACAATGAGACTGAAGAAAGAGAAATTAAGGAGTCAATCCCATTTACAGTTGCACCCAAAAGCATAAGATACCTAGGAATAAACCTAACCAAAGAGGTAAAGGATCAAAAAAAAAAAAAAAAAAAAAAAGAGGTAAAGGACCTATACGCTAAAAACCATAGGACGCTTCTGAAAGAAATTGAGGAAGACACAAAGAGATGGAAAAATATTCCATGCTCATGGATTGGCAGAATTAATATTGTGAAAATGTCAATGTTACCCAGGGAAATTTACACGTTTAATGCAATCCCTATCAAAATACCATGGACTTTCTTCAGAGAGTTAGAACCAATTATTTTAAGATTTGCGTGGAATCAGAAAAGACCCTGAATAGCCAGGGGAATTTTAAAAAAGAAAACCATATCTGGGGGCATCACAATGCCAGATTTCAGGTTGTACTACAAAGCTGTGATCATCAAGACAGTGAGGTACTGGCACAAAAACAGACACATAGATCAATGGAACAGAATAGAGAACCCAGAAGTGGACTCTGAACTTTATGGTCAAGTAATATTCGATAAAGCAGGAAAGACGATCCACTGGAAGAAAGACAGTCTCTTCAATAAATGGTGCTGGGAAAATTGGACATCCACATGCAGAAGAATGAAACTAGACCACTCTCTTGCACCATACACAAAGGTAAACTCAAAATGGATGAAAGATCTAAATGTGAGACAAGATTCCATCAAAATCCTAGAGGAGAACACAGGCAACACCCTTTTTGAACTCGGCCACAGTAATTTCTTGCAAGATACATCCACGAAGGCAAAAGAAACAAAAGCAAAAATGAACTATTGGGACTTCATCAAGATAAGAAGCTTTTGCACAGCAAAGGATACCGTCAACAAAACTCAAAGACAACCTACAGAATGGGAGAAGATATTTGCAAATGACGTATCAGATAAAGGGCTAGTTTCCAAGATCTATAAAGAACTTATTAAACTCAACAGCAAAGAAACAAACAATCCAATCATGAAATGGGCAAAAGACATGAAGAGAAATCTCACAGAGGAAGACATAGACATGGCCAACACGCATATGAGAAAATGCTCTGCATCACTTGCCATCAGGGAAATACAAATCAAAACCACAATGAGATACCACCTCACACCAGTGAGAATGGGGAAAATTAACAAGGCAGGAAACCACAAATGTTGGAGAGGATGCGGAGAAAAGGGAACCCTCTTACACTGTTGGTGGGAATGTGAACTGGTGCAGCCACTCTGGAAAACTGTGTGGAGGTTCCTCAAAGAGTTAAAAATAGACCTGCCCTACGACCCAGCAATTGCACTGTTGGGGATTTACCCCAAAGATTCAGATGCAATGAAACGCCGGGACACCTGCACCCCGAAGTTTCTAGCAGCAGTGTCCACAATAGCCAAACTGTGGAAGGAGCCTCGGTGTCCATCGAAAGATGAATGGATAAAGCAGATGTGGTTTATGTATACAATGGAATATTACTCAGCAATTGGAAACGACAAATACCCACCATTTGCTTCAACGTGGATGGAACTGGAGGGTATTATGCTGAGTGAAATAAGTCAATCAGAGAAGGACAAACATTATATGTTCTCATTCATTTGGGGAATATAAATAATAGTGAAAGGGAATATAAGGGAAGGGAGAAGAAATGTGTGGGAAATATCAGAAAGGGAGACAGAACATGAAGACTCCTAACTCTGGGAAACGAACTAGGGGTGGTGGAGGGGGAGGAGGGTGGGGGATGGGGGTGAATGGGTGACGGGCACTGAGGGGGGCACTTGACGGGATGAGCACTGGGTGTTATTCTGTATGTTGGCAAAGTGAACACCAATAAAAAATAAATTTATTATAAAAAATAAATAAAAATGAAAATAAATTATATTATACCAAAAAAAAATTGAATGGAGTAACATGGTTCATAGGTAAAGATCCAGGGTTCTGCTGAACTAGAATAGGAAAAAGAAACATCTTTACATTCATCAATCTTTCACTAAAATCTATCATGTTACACAGCAACAGTGTGCTCCTAACTCCCTCTTCCCATCCTCTGCTGCTGTTGCCACAGCTTGCTTCGTGTAACGTTCCACAAACACACAGTACATTACAACTGTTTTTGCATCCAACACTCAATAATATTTGAAAGCAATTAAAAATAGAGGGGAAATGAGCTTTTATTTGTATTTCTTATATCATTCCCAGTGTTCATATTTTGTGTACATCAGTGTCTTAGTGTCCTGATCCTTCTGCCTGAAAACGTCCATCATTTCTTAAAGCACTGGTCTGCTGGCCATGATTTTTTTTAACTTTAATATGTTGAAAAAGCCTTTTTTTCCCTTTATTTTCAAAAGATATTATTGCTGAGCATAGCAGTCTAGCCAGGTTGACAAGTTTCCCCCTTCGGCCCCTGAAGGATGCCACTCCATCATCCTCTGACTTACATGTGTCAGAGGAGAGGTGTGCTGGCACTCATGTCTGTATGCTTCTGTGTGTCCTGTGGCTTTCTGTCTGCCTCCAGGGTGTCCTGTTCAGTTTTCAGCAGTTTGCATAGGATAGGTCTAGATGGAAATTTTTTTGCTAATTTGTTTGCTTTGGTATTTAATCTCATGGATGGTAAATGGATATTTATTGCAGACTGGTAGGTACCCCCACTGCTCCATCCCTAGTTTCTCTGAGGATTTAGGACAGACATGCACCTGCCCTCAAGGAGCTTTATAGAAGGATAAGCAAGATATGGTGGTAACCGAGATAGGAAGTGGAGCTGAGAAGCAGACACAGGAAGCTAAGTGAACTCCCTGCTTTATGTTTTGTGTGACTCTCTATATCAGATGTTTGTAATTAGGACTTCAAAAATGAGAATTGTTTTCTTCCATGAGATTGGTCAAATCTTGGCTTAAACACATTTCCAGGAATGATATGCAGACATGCTAAGATTTTCTCCACCTGTTAATATAAGATTTGCCAGGAACTAAGGTCTATGCCTTTTTTCCTTGCCAGCTGGAAGAGAAGACTGAGAAGAATTTGGGAGAAGCAGGCTCTTCCACCGACAGCAAAGGGGCATTCAAGAAGGAAAGAGAGATGCATCAGAAGCTTCTCACTGACAGTCATGGCCTGGTCATGGACCTGCGCTGGCAGATCCATCACAGTGAGAAGAACTGGAGCCGGGAGAAGGTGGAACTTCTTAGCCGTCTAGACAGAGACCGGCAGGAATGGGAGCAGCAGAAGAAGGAGCTCTTGTGGAGAATAGAACAGGTAAGGAACCACCCAGGCACCCACCAACAGGGAAGGGAGTACAGACAACTAAACTGACCTGGAAATAAGAGCACTTAGAGGGAAAAAAAAAAAAATCAGGCTATTGAGAGGTCCTAACTCCATCAGGATGTTTCACAGGCTTCCAGAGGAAGAGGAAAAATTTCATAGAATTTCTAGCATTGGAGACCCAGACTCTACCCTTCCATTACACAGATCCTTTTGTTGCAGAGTTTGGAGGTAACTTCCTTGTACGTGTCTATCTGTACAGTATGTCTGTGGTCAGGGCTGGGGGGCAGGGTAACATTCAAAGGAATTTAAAGACAAAACTGGAAAGATGAGATTATTTCAGGTCTAGTAAGGTGATTCCTGCCAAAAAAGCAAACTACATTTTAAGTTTGCCCCCTAGAGATGTGGTCACAGTGACTGCTCCAACTTGAATGGAATTCCTGTCCTTTAGTAAAGAAATTGCTGAATTAAGTTGGAAATCAGGCTGTTTGCACCTGCTGTGGATATTGCTGAGCTGTGATTAGGTAGGACCATAGTCAGGGGAGGGAGCTGGTCGCTCATCCTCTTCAGCTAAACAAACATTCAAACACCCAGATGAACTCAGGAGGAGAGGGAGAGTTGTTTTTTTATCTTCCAAAGAATCATTCTCTGCATGGCATCAGACTTGGGACCATTTGCATTCGTCACACCTGAGTGACGCACAAATTAAATTTTCACATGAAACTGATGAAGTTTTGAAATTCTTCTCTGGCTAGATTTTTACATAGCATATATGTATTTTTGCATTTAGTTCAGCCTGTCACACTTATACATTTATGAGGCCTCAAGGAAACATATTAATCAATAAGAAACTGAGTTCAGGAAAAGTAACCTTTTTACTCTATCACAAATACTTATACTGCCTGCATTTATGTGGGAGCTTTTTGAAAAATGTGCTCTATCATCACCAGACATAATACCTGTGTTAGGCAGGTGCAATGGCCACAGTTAGTTTCTGCATGCTGCAGGGGAGCAAGAGAAGGTGAATGAACTAAAAAAATAATAAAAAATAAAAAGCCAGGAGCCTTTGGCTCAGAAACTGTTGAGAAGAAGGCACACTGCAGATAGAATAGAATGGGGTGGAAGTTCTTCCTAGTTTTAATTACTCACATAACTGAGTCACCATATTGACATTTGATGTGGCTCATTTCAAAATTCCCCAAATTCTATCAAAAGAAAGGTGGCCACTTCCTGTTTGGCCTAGTGATGCATCATTTGAGAAGAATATTCTGTATTAAATCCCCAGTGTACCTAGGTTCTACTGGACAGATAAGTTGTTAGGTGGAAATTACAGGAGCAAACGTAGCATGTGTCCTTGCCAAGTGGTCGCAGATCTATCAGATCCAGCCTCAGCTAACTTGTGTCTCAGTAACTCCAGGCACCATGTTATCAAGAAGGTTCCCTCTTGGCCTTCCCTCTGTGAGCAGTCAGTCTTTCCCTCCTGTACCACAGTAAGGCCATCATAATCCCTGTCATGCCCTTCTGGGGTCCACTTTGCCTGTTATCTGGAGGCTCTTTGGTCTTATCATAGCTTGTTTTTGGAAATCACACCTTGGATATAATTTAAGCAAGTCTTATAGGGTCTTACTTTTGGGAATGAGCAACTCCTAGTAAAGGAAGAAGTAGTAGGACATCCAATGATAATCAACTTTTGAAGAGTTAATAACTCTTCAGGAGGAGTAGTCACCCCATTTTAAGACTATTTATTTTGAAGAGTAACTGTGGGCCTGTGCTGAACCCCATTTCTGATTCACATCAGTATTCTGTGTCAGGACTATAGCAGTTCTGCTGAGCCGATAGCCTCAGAACTTGAGTCCTCAAGGTTAACATCTTTGAGCATAATGGATTCAAGACACATGGGTTCCAGGCGCTCATCTGTTCCTGAAATCTGTGCAGTGGATCCCACAGGCTTTGTACAATGATCTCACTGCTGTTTTTAGAAGAGGATTTGCTGCCAGTGAATGATGCTTCAGATATGCAGTTGTGGCTTTTAAAAATAAATCCAGGCTTTTCCCCCAAATATTCAGCATTTTAAAAGAAGATTTTATAAATCTTAGCGCCTGATCCCAAAAATTAGATGAAGCAGTTACAGGCATTCTCTGGAAAAGAGGAAATTGACTGAAGCGTGTATATATGTATGGATTTTGTTTATCATTCATTTAATTTTTAGCTCCACATTCCATAGATAAACAAGAAATACAGGTGAACATTCTTCATAAGGTATGCTCTTGATATTTGACTACTTGGTGAGCCATGTAACCTTGACTGTGATAACATAATACAGTTGGTGAAGGAAGTAACACTAAATCCATTTTCCACTTTCAGAACACATGCTTCATACTTGTCCGGTGTCATTAAATTCCTACATAATTTCTGTGCCACATGAGGCATTTTATATGACGGATGACTATGGGAATGCGGTTAAGGTCACTTAACACATGTCATCTATCTTATCAGCATCTCTTGTCCCAGTCCAAATTTGATTGGGCGATAGTTACCTTTTATGGAGTCACACTACATTTCTCCTTAGAATTAAATTCCCAGTTAACATGCAGATGATCTAGGACTCGCCGCCATACTAAAGACCATGTGTCATTCCAGCCTCCTTCCAGCAACTTCCTTAAATCAGCTGCCTCTACAACCTGAAAGGCCATTCTTTTAAAACCTGTCCACAAGGTGACCTTTTTTTTCCTTTGACCAGTTTGGGTAAGGTGACACTGTTGAGGGTTTATCATTTCCTGTATTATTTGAAATGCAAGTCTTTTCTTTTTCTATTTGTGGTAAAAGTTGTTCTACTGCAGGGTTCGAAATACAGTAGGTGCTGATGGCTGGTCTGAAATGACTCTCCTAGGAAACCCTATCCTTTTAAGGACCCATTATTCTATTACAACATCCCAGAGGCATCTCAGCAGCAGATACCCATTCCAGTTCGTTTTCAGGAAACCTAACACTGACCAGCTTTAGTGTGTTTTGCTCCTGGCTGCCTGCATTTATTTTTGAATTCCCACTGTGCCGAGCTAAAGTGTGCTCGTTCAAAGCCCTCCTCCTTAGTCATTCTTTCCTCCTCTTCACACACACCCTCGGTGTGCATTTGCAGCTCCAAGTGTGATTCTTGCATTTTAATTCCTTGCCCAGAATAGCTTAGAGATGATCATGTGTTGAAAACTAAATTGCGCTGGCATACGTTAGATGAACATAATAAAATAAAAAGCTTTCCCTTTTTGTTGTTGGTTTTTGTTTGTGTTTTAAAGAAAACAGTTTAGCATCTTGAAGAGAACTGGGAAGAACTGTGCCTTGGGGTTGAGGGACAGGAGAGATCAGAGGGGCCAAACTGAAACCCAGAGTGGTCAGCTTGTTCCCTAATTCGATGGTGACCCCACCTCAGAGGCTAACGTTTAGGCTCTGGCCACTTGAATCTCCGTCTTTCTCAAATAATCCACCGTCTCAGAAATTACTAAAAATGAGTGAAAGTCCTTTGTCTCCATTATTTCACGTGGCTTGGTTCCTGATGATGCACATGCCACTCTCACTTCCAGCCCATGGATGAAGGCATCCCTTGAGACCTACAGGTGTATTCTGTGAAAGATGCTTGGCTAAGAAGTAAATTAATGCTTCCAAGGGAGTTGTAGAACCCTTAAGGACTGAAAATCTTTCTTCTCCAACAAATCCAGGGTGTCACTTTCACCCTTCAGATAGTTTTCTTAGTCAGAAGGGCAGCTGATGTGGTGGAGTGTGAGAGCATGTCACCCAGTAACAACCCCAGTGGAGACACCCAGGTGGAACTCTCCTCAGCCCTCCACTGTGCTTTCTGTGCATGTTTCAAAAGGAAGGCAGTGAGGAAAGGTCTGGAGAGTCCGGGGAAAGCAGTCCATTACAGCTTCTCTAGGGAGTAAGCATCCGCCCTGCTCATCATATCCTGCCTGTCCCTGTGATTTCACACTGGCTCCCTTCCTAAGTGGCTCCACATGGTTTGTTCTAGAGCTGTAAATCAGCAAGGCGTGTATTGCACACCGACCCCAGGGAGGATGAGCAGGGGTCTCATGGACAAACAGTGTGCCCAGCTGGACTTGTCTGGCCAGTGGCCCCTGCACACCTCCCCTCTACAACAGGCATCTGTCCCCATTTTACAGATGAGAACACTGAGCTGGGGACAGCTGGGAACTTCACATCTGCTAGCAAGCCGGCAAGCCACAGGACAATGGCTCCAACTCAGGCCTTCCAAATCCCAGAGCAGAGGGTCCTGTGTTTTGCCCACTGTTGCTTCCTGAATTTTCCAAGTCAGGCAAAAAAAAAAAAAAAAAAAAAAAAAAAAAAAGGTTTAGCTCTAAAGTATGCAGCTTATTTTTTGTTTTTAAGTCAGACCAGATCTTGAATTAACTTGATAGCTAAGGTTTAATTAACCCTCTCAAGCAAAGTTAGAAATTGTTTCTGACATCCTATGGTTACAACCCAGTTCAATCCCTTGGATTATATGCAGGACTCATTCCAAAGGAATGAGTGGAAATAATAATGGAAATAATAGTGACCTAAGGAGGAAACTCTGCTGGTGAGGAAAATCAGATTCACCCTCAGAAGTTTGCTATCGCCAATGGTTTTCCTTAAGTTCTGAAAGTATAAAAGAGAGCTCTAAATATGTCATTTAACAATGTTCAGTTTTTTAAAAATAAATGTATAATGTCCCATGGACAGTACGCCACGTTGTTTATAGTAATATATATATTCTACTCAGCAGGAATTGGCTTGTGTGTGTGATTAATGTAGATTTTCCAGTCCAGATAAAATTGTGATTTTATTTTTTTTAATAAAAGCGTCTGTAATGTTGTGTTACTTTTGAAATTAAGGCCAGAACTTTAAGAACATTTGCTTCTCACAGTCTTTCCGATGGACCCAAGCATAGTGCAGATCATGGCGGAGCAGTGGTCTTAGGGAGAGCCACATACAGAAAAGTGAGGCTAATTGTTTTCATTTTTAAAACCCTGAAGTTGCAGAAAGAAAACAGTCCCCGGAGAAGTGGCAGTTTCCTCTGTGATCAAAAAGAAGGCACCATCCGCCCCTTTGCCCATCCAGGAAGCCCCCGAATGCCCCGTCCCTTGGGGATGTGGTCCTGTGCAGACACCGACTCCACCCCATTTGAAGACCGGCCGCTGTCCAAGCTGAAGGAATCAGACAGATGTTCAGCACGGGAAAACCTCTACTTGGACGCCTTGTCTCTAGATGATGAGCCAGAGGAGCCTCCAGCCCGAGGGCCCCAGCGGGAGTTCAGGAACTGCCTCCCCCAGGTCGGCCTGGGATTTGGGGTCCAGTTAACTGCTGCAGGACCAAGGGGGTTGTCAGGAAACCTGTCCACGTGGCCGGCAGGCCCGGGATTTGCAAATCGCAGCTTCTGGGCTGAGTAAGCATGAAAACTTCATGGTGCCAAGAGTTCTGCTTGGTGGCCCTGACCCCAAGCTCCTAGTGAGTGCTGCAGGCAGTTCCCTCTACCACCATGTTTCAGGTTTGGAGAGTTTGGAGACATAGAACTGTGTCCCGTGTAAACAAAAGGTCTCGTACATGAGCTGGTCCAATGAAACACACAGGAGGAGACAGTTTATTCTCAGGAGTATAGGTCTTCAACCTCTCTTTAAATCATAGCAGCCTTCTGATTCTAAACAACTTGCTGGTAACAAAAAAGGAATCTGTTCTAAGGAAAGTACCTCACGTCTGGAAATAGTATTACTAAACAATAACATGCTATAAATTCTTATACTGTGCAAAGAAGGGGGGAACAAATCCCAACACTTAGAAGCCATACAAAAATTAGATCAACAAATCAGTGAGCTAAGTAAACTCTGGGCTGAAATTTCCATGGCACAATGTCAGGTTTTTCTAGTGATTCCCCTTCTACAACTGGGTTTTAAAACCGGGTTGGATTTTAGGAATCGTTACATAAGTCGGTTTAACAGTTGCTGTACCTGTCCCTAAGCCAGTCCAGAGACAGACTTCTAAGAGTTCATGCGAAGTAGTGTTGAAATGTGGGGCAGCTAGACTTCAGCCAGATGTCCATGAGGTAAGGTGCCTTCTCCGCAGTATATGGCCAGGTGGCATGACATCACCAGTGCGCCACCCTGTTTGATCTATTGGCAACTCCCATGGTGCAGTTGCACAGCAGAGAGGAAGCAGGTTGGGAGCCTGCCCTGGTCCCAGTCCACAGTGACTGGGGTCCTGAGCAAAAGTCAGTAAGTCATTATAAGCTCACCTCTGATTCCAGATGGCAATGCCAAAGGTGGTTGCATCGACTTCTACAGTGAGGCTTAGACCAAGGGGCCTAGCCACCTAACTTCCTCTATGGGGAGCCACATCTTCCTTTTCCCCACCTCCTCCTGTCTCTGTCTCTCTCTTTCTTACACACACACACACACATACACGTATGTGTCATTACAACAGCCAGCCTTGAAATTCATATACTAGCTTCCTTTGAGAAAGCACGGGAGAGCCACCTCCTTCATGATGAAGTATATAGCCAGTTTTTCTCACTCACATGGGCTCCTTCCTGGACGGCAGGAGCTCCAGTCCCTCCTCACACTGCAGGTCCTCGTTTTATTATTATAGTTCAAAGAGCTGGGGGTCAGGAGCATTCCCAACCAACACTTGGCCTCAGTGTATATGCTAAATGGTATTTTCCTATGGCAGAAGAGCAAAACAAATCACTTAGCACGTTGAAGCTGCCTGGCAACCAATATGAACAGATTCAGACGATCTTATTTCTTCTTTATAGGAAGAAGAAAATCACAAGGGAAATCTTCAAAGGTAAGTAAGATAATGAAAACAGTAGTAGGCTACCGAAATTAAAACCTCTTGGTCTTAAAATTCTATCCTGTCACTGCAGAATGTCTTCAAAAGGACTTAGGGTAACACTTCTAAATAAGTAGTGGCTTTATTATGATTGATTTCGTAAATACAGAATTCCCTATTATTAGCAAGAAAGGCCAGAGACTAGCTGCACTGGTGTGGGCGGTAGTGTCATGGTGAGGACAGTTACAGCTGTGGATTGTGTGTATAAAAGAATGTTGGTTTCTGAAAAGTCCACAGAAACCCCTCTCGTCTCATTTGGTCTGGAAAGACTCCCACTTGATATGCCATGAGACATTTCATATACTGTGCATTTAAAGCTCTGCTGGGAGGATTTATTAAAATATTTCCCGGCAGTAAACCACAAATAAATTCAAAGTGAGTGATGCTGGTGATACTGGTTGTCACATATGACCCAAAATATATATGATAGGATGTATCTGAAAAGACACATCTAAACAGATTTGTTTACATTTAAACATTAAAAATATACAACTGAGTGGAAAGTATAAAGATTTCCCATACACAACCCCCCACGCACACACCCCACCCTCACACACATGCTTCTTTATAGATGAACACATGCTGTTTCCACCCCAGGAAACTTCTTCTCAGGGCAATTGGCTGTTTCCAGATCTCCTCATCCCTGGTTTTCCTAGGAACTTCAAGTCCATGAATCACTGTCCCCTCCCCATGTTGCCCTGTATCAGGTTCATCCACAACCATCCCAAATGCGTGTGGTGCGTTTCTGTCCTTCAGGCTCTGCCTTGACTGGTCTTTCTCAGACCATCCAAGGCTGCATTCGAGATCTAGAGCCTGGTTTCAAATGCACTTCTGCCTCTCGCTAGCCATATGCCCTGAGGTGAGCTGGGTAACTAACTACCTTGTGCCTCAGTTTCCTCATCTGTAGACAGAAGGCATTTAAATTGCTTTACAGCTTAAATATGTTACTACACATAAAACAAAGCAATGCCTGACACAATCAACAGAGTTTAACTATCTTCACAGAGCTCTTCCGGGTATACTAGCTCTGATTTTTTATCTTTTCTTAAAAGTTTATTTTTTTAGTAATCTCTACACCCAACGTGGGGTTCGAACTCACAACCCCGAGATCAAGAGTCATATGTTCCACTGACTGAGCCAGACAGGCTCTCCTCTTATTTTTTATCTTAATTGCTACTATTAATTTCAAAAGTCATCCATACTTAGAAAAGTTAAACTGAAATGAAAACTCAAAACATCACAATATCAGAAATATTATTAAAACTTAGATATCACCTCAGAATGTCTGAGGTGAGAGGGGTACATGTGTGTCATCCCCACCATCCCCTTCTCCTTCTTGCTTCAAGAAGTTTCCTGTCTTCCCTCCATGCTTTCTTCCTTGTACCTTCACACAATGGCACACATTTCAGATGTGTCCTGGTTTTGTATCTTAGGTTTGGCCACTGCTAAGGCTGATGTGTCCCCTTTTTCTGCCCACATCACCTCTGTTCCACAAAATCCATCCAAGCCCTGGAGGCAGAAATGGAGCTTAGACAAGCAGTGTCCAAGGAACGTAGACAGGGTTGGGGTTTCGGTACCCATAGAGCACTTCCAGCCCCCAGTGAACAGCATTCTGAAGCTCATTAGTAATTCAGCAACCCCTGGACTTGGCCCCAGAGGCAAGAAGAGAAATCACACTTGCCAGAAAGCTTAATACCTAGTGATAAATTGACCTGTTCCTTCTATTTCTTTTTATTTTCAGTGCTAGTTGGGAGCCAGCTTACCGTTATTCATCAGGCTGTGGGAGAGTTTGTAGATGGTTTCTAACAAAAAAATACCACTCACTTTTGCCTCTCGTGAGAAATAACAAGCTAGAAGGCCCACCAGGATCCGTAGTCTGCTCTCTTTTATGCCAGAGTGGTGTCCGCAAGAGCATGTGTCCCCAGGGTGAGGGCAGAGGCACCCAGAGCTTTTTGCCACTTCTGTGGGCCAGTCCATGTGGCACACAGACCCCAGTCCTGGCCTCAGCACCGCTAGTGGTTCGTGCAGTGGAGCGGCCCACGTATTCTCTGTCTGGGACCCGTCTGGCAGCACTTGTGCTGATCTGAAACCCTAGGTGTGGGCAGCCCCCGTGGTGCAGCGGTTTGGCACCGCCTGCAGCCTGGGGTGTGATCCTGGAGACCCAGGATCGAGTCCCGCATTGGGCTCCCTGCATGGAGCCTGCTTCTCCCTCTGCCTGTGTCTCTGCCTCTCTCTCTCTCTGTGTGTCTATGAATAAATAAATAAAATCTTAAAAAAAAAACCCTAGGTGTTTAAACTTGTTTGGGGTGTGCAGATAGCAAGATGTCCTATGAAAAAGTGGTATAGTGGCAGAGACAGTCTGGGTGCCTTCCCTCCACCCCAGCCAGAGGGCCCAGGTCGAAGCTCACAGGCAGGGCCAGCCCCAAGCCTTCCTGGCCGCCACTGCTTTGCCCTGGGGGGCTTGACAGGCTGCCTGGGTGCTCCAGCCAGCTCCTGTCTCAGCATTGCAGAATCCTGGACCCTCTAGGGTGCCCACCCTGGCCTGTAGGAGGTAGTCAGGAAATTCATACCAAATAGAAATATATTCAGTGAAAGCACTAATATATTGAGGAATCTACATCCAAATGCACATCCATCAGGGAACACTTACCCCAAACTGGCTGTTCCTTTAGCTTACCTATCTTCACTCCCACATGGTATATGTGTGTGTCTGCAGGCATCTTCCTCTTATCCAGGAATTCAGGAGGAGCAAGAACAAAAAAACAGGCTTTGGCTATAAAGGAGGGAAGCAGAGGGAAGGGAAGAACTGGGCCCTGCTGGTGGATTTCAGCCGGGCCAGACGGAGTTTCTGTTGGAAGTGGTATTTGGAAATTAGTGCCCACCTGTCACACCTTCTGCTTCCCTCCTTTGCTTCACATCTTCTGTTTGGTCTCTGGAGGTTAGTTAGTACAGTTGACCCCTGAACAACATGGATTGAACTACATGGGTCCACTTAGATATGGATTTTTTCCAGTTAATATAGTACTATAAATGTATATTGTCTTCCTTATGGTTCTCTCTTTTTTTTTAAGATTTAATTTTTTATTTGAGAGAAAGAGCATGAGTGGGGATGGGGAGGAAGGGCAGAGGAATAGGGAGAAGCAGACTCCCTGTTGAGCAGGAAGCCCAACATGGGGCTCAATCCCAGGACCCTGGGATCATGACCTGAGCTGAAGGCAGACACTTAACCAACTGAGCCACCCAGGTGCCCCTCCTTATGGTTTTCTTATTAACATTTTCTTCCGTTAACTTATTTTAAGAATACAGTATTTAATACAAATACAAAATATGTGTTCATAGACTGTTTATAGATCAATAAGGCTTCTGTTCAACAGTTGGCTCTTAGTAGTTAAGTTGGGGGGAGTCAAAAATTGTACATGGATTTTCGACTACATGGGGGTCAGATGCCCTAACCCCCGTATTGTTCAGGGGTCAACTGTACTTCCTTAGAAGTTCATCCAATAGATGATGAGGCCAGTGGGCGAACAGGACATCAGATTATAGCTGTGATGTTGTGGTGCCCACCCCCTTGCATATACCATTAGCTGGGTTTGGATCAGGACAGGGCTGCTTTCTCCTGTCAGCAGTGCGAGCATCTGCCACAATACCTGGAACTCAGGAAACTCCTAGTAGGTTAGGATTTGAGGGCATTCATCAGCCAGATGTCCTCCTTCCTCTGGAGCATCCACAGGCCAAAATGAAACCATTCCAAAGTGGGTTTGGAGCTGAACCCTGACCACCCCAGAGCTCAGCCTCCAGCTTGTTCCCATAATATTTGAGAGCTGCCTGTATTCCATTCTGACAAATATAAGGCTCCTGGAACAATTCCAGAGCTGTTAAAAGTTCATCAAACATCCACAGGGCAGCTCAAGAGTAGAGAACATCAAGGAGCCAGAAAGTGTTCCCGCTGGCCTACATGGAGACTGACACACAACAGGCACCTGTTCCTTGGGCAGCACATGCGTGCCGCGCTGGGTCGGGGGTGCAGGGTGGCAGGTCAGCAGGCTGCCCGGCTGGCAGGCAGCTGACACCCTTTTCTCCCCCACCTTCCCCAGGGCTGTGTCTGTGTCCTCCATGTCTGAGTTCCAGCGTCTGATGGACGTTTCTCCCTTCCTGCCGGAGAAGGGCGTCCCCGCCACCAGCAGCAAGGAGGACATCACTCCGCCCCTGTCTCCTGATGATCTGAAGTACATCGAGGAGTTCAACAGCAAGAACTGGGACGAGAGGCCCCCAGAGCCCTGGGCAGACAGGACCGAGGGGGGGCGGGCAGGGAGCGAGGCTGGTGCGGAGCCTTTCCCTGACTCCTCCTGGTACCTCACCACGAGTGTCACCATGACTACGGACACCATGACCAGCCCAGAGCACTGCCAGAAGCAGCCCCTTCGGAGCCCCATGTGCGCGGAGCAGGCCGGGGTGCGGGTGCTGCACAGCCCACCCGCGGTCCGTAGGATGGATGGCATCGTGGTGGCGGGCAGTGAGGGCAAGGGCCGGGCCGAGCCCGAGTGCCCGTTTCCAACTAGCAGAGCCAGGGGGGGCACTGGAGACACAAAAGGGGGTCCCTCAGAACATGTGCTCAGCAGGTGGCCTTGCGCCCCCTCCAGGCACCCCCGAGACTATGTGGAGGGAGGGCTGCGCCCCCTCGAAAGTGCCCTCTGCGCCCCCCTGGGTTTTGCCTCCTCGCTGCACGGCCTGCAGATGTCCAAGAACATGAGTGATGACATGAAGGAGGTGGCCTTCTCGGTCAGGAACGCCATCTGCTCTGGCCCCCCCAAGCCTCCACTCAAGGACATGGCCTGCCAGACCAATGGGTCCCGGACGACGGGAACACAGACCGTCCAGACCATCACCATTGGCCTGCAGACCGAAGCCCTGCGTGGCAGCGCCGTCACCAGCAGCCCCCACAAGTGTCTCACACCCAAGGCCGGGGGCGGGGCCACGCCCGCGTCATCTCCTTCCCGTGGCCTTCGGAGCCGGCAGATGGCCCCCGCCATCGAGAAGGTGCAGGCCAAGTTCGAACGCACGTGCTGCTCCCCCAAGTACGGGTCTCCCAAGCTGCAGAGGAAGCCCCTCCCCAAAGCTGAGCCGCCCAACAGCAGGACCTCCCTGGGGCTGGCCCCAAAGGGGTGCAGCGAGTCCGCCTGGGCCCGTTCCACCACCACGAGGGAGAGCCCGGTGCACACCGCCATCAACGATGGCCTCTCCAGCCTCTTCAACATCATCGACCACAGCCCCGTGGTGCAGGACCCCTTCCAGAAGGGGACTCGGGCCGGGAGCCGATCTCGCTCAGCAGAACCCCGGCCCGAGCTGGGCCCAGGCCAGGAAACGGGCCCCAGTTCCCGGGGACGGTCCCCCAGCCCCATCGGGGCTGGCTCAGAGACTTGGAGGGAGGAAGGGGGAGAGGGCACGCCCTTGAGGCAGGACTTATCCGCTCCCCCTGGTTACACGTTCACTGAGAACGTAGCCCGGATCCTCAACAAGAAGCTGTTGGAGCATGCCTTAAAGGAGGAGAAGAGGCAGGCCCCCCACGGGCCCCCAAGTCTTAACAGTGACAGCCACATGGGAGAAACCATCAAAGCTGAACCAGGGTCCATCGAGGTAATAAGGCTGAGTATTCCAACCGTCCCCCCCCACTGGCTCTTCTGTTCAAATGTCAGGAAAACACATGTAAACCTGGGGTTTTGCTAGGTCATCTGGTTTCAGGAATAGGTTCTTGTGAGCTGGGAAGATACAGGGTTTATGGGAGAATGGAATAGGCTGAAACATAAGCCCCAAGCTGCTCCTAAAGAAAAGTTCCTATTATTGTCCTCAGTGATCTTTTCTTGAAGATGTAGCTCAGGGTTTGGTTCAGGTTCTCTTGTCTGATCTAGCTGATGGTGCTCGTCTGTCTATCTGGGCTTTTCACTTGGGGTTATAATTTGCCCTCTTTCTGTGTGAATTTGTGTCCTAGAAATGTGTGTGTGTGAAGTGTGTGAGAGTCACGTCAGGGTTCTCTGCGTGCTCCAGATCTTTATCCAGGACAACACAAGAGGTGTGCCGGAGAGGGTGTAATAGTGTGGACACTAGAACGTGCTTCATCAGGAACGTACAAGAATGTCTGGATTCCAGTGCTGGCGTCAGTACAGAATAGCAGCCCTCTGTGTCACAAATCCCATGCCCTCTACGACCACGAATCTCCCTGGCAATAAAACCAGGTGAGACAGATGGATAAGATCAAATTCCTGCCTTCATATGATGTGGTTATTGTTATTATCGCCCTTACATCTGTCATATTATCACAGTCTATATGACCACACATCCCGTCACCTGCTATTACCCTGCGATATTATTACATCCCCCTTAACATTATTCACCAATGGGTCAACCTTGAATGTTGTTCTAATGCATATCCACATGCCGAATGTCCATACCACGCCACATTAAAAACAATCCTCATTTCCACTTCAAGAATGAGCGAAACAAAACAAAGCCTGACAGTAATGCTGGGAATGAGAGGGTGGGGCTGCGGGCCTGGTGCAGTGAAGCAGCACATGTTCCCTGCCCTCGGCAGACACTGTGATCCCGCATGTAGACTTAAGGGTGAGGCTGATTCACCACTAGCCCTGAGGAACAGACTCCACACCCAGATATATCCGTAACCATTCCCCAGGCGAGGCAGATGGCAAGGGTCGGAGAGGAGAGAAATACGCTCCCAGGGCCGCCCCCCTGCTCTCCCGCCATGGCCCAGGTAACCCTGGCTTCACAGGTGAGGAGATGAGGCAGGTGCGTGTTTCCTGTGTTACCTCCAGACCCACGTTTTCCCCCAGGGTGGGGGTCGAGGAGAAACAATAGCCCCCAGTCTAACCTATCAAGTTGGAGTCAACTGACAATGTAGAGTTTAAATCTGAAGGAGGTCAAACCACGTGAAATTACCCGTGACCTACAGAAATGGCAATTGCCATTTCATTCAACCTAATATCGATGGTACATTGGCCCTGTTCTGAACATGAGTCTTTGTGATAAAGTTGTTTACGTGCTCTGAGAAGAACAAACACCGTGATTGAGTGTTCTCAGGTGTCTTCTGCAGGCTGCTTTTACCCCCAACCCTCCAGGGGTCTCAGGTAAGTGACTTAGTTCTGCAGAGGGCTTATTTGTGTGAATGCCCTACCTCCTTGGGGCTCTGGAGGAATCAGGGCTCTGGCCCAAAGCATTAACTGGCTGGTCTGTGATGTCCATTAATATTAAAAACTAAAGAGAAATTAATGTTTAGGAACCAAAAACGGCTTTGAGTTACAGTGAATGCTCCAAGCAATCTATGATAATAGAAAGACAACCGCTTAATGGCTAAAGCACAGCTCTAAGGCATGAAAACGAATTTATCAGTATGGAGCTATGCCCATCCCCCTGCCACTTTGGTCCTCTCTGTAAAATGTCTGTTTAAATTATCTTCTCACTGGGTGTGTTTGCTACCAAAGAGATGATAGGCCAATTCGGGGAATTCAGTACCTGCCTGGAGCACTCACTGGCAGAGATTAAATACTATGGGCTCCTGTTTCCTTTTCTGTTGGTATTTTGCTTGTTCTAGATTCCAGTGAAATTGTTCCTATCTAAATTGACTTCCTGTAATAGGCCCATTGGAAACCCCTTCCCATCATCCCCTAAATTATGTAATAAGTAGTTCTGGGTTTTCATTCCAAAATCACCAGGACTTGTGCTGATTGTCCAACCTGCCCTGAGCACCCCGCAGTGGGCCCTTCCCTAAATGTTCCCTGGATGCCTGGACATGGGCCTCCCTGGCTGGGGGCATGGCGGGAAATCTCCCTTGTCTTTTCTCACTCCTGTCCCATGGCTATATTTATCCTCTTTTTTTCTCTTGATGCTGTAGCACCAGTTCTATCATGCGGAGACGCTAAGAGATGAGTTATGGTGTGAAGGGAAAGAATAATCTGGAAATGCAGTGGTATTCTTCCCTCCTGTGTCTAGTGGAAAATACAAGGGGAAACTTTTAGTGTGAGCAGTAACCGTGTGATCATTGTGACAAAAGCAGACCATTTAATCCTCTGTTTCAAATACAACAGTCATGTGACTTCCATCTCTATGCACACCAAAGGGTTTCTGAAGTGTTAAGTGCTAAAGGGCCAATCAGGGAAGAACAGAAAGCAGAGGGGAGAGATCGGATGTTGTTCTGCAGTGAGGGTCCTTCCATGCTCCAAACCACCTGGACCCATGCAGAGGGAGGCCTGCATACCCGGGGTGCACCTGCCCGTTTCTGCAGGCCCCATGTTTCTCCTGATAGCTGTCCCTGGAACTACCACCAGGCTTGTTGACTTTAAACCTTTACTGTTCTTCTTGTTTAAAAAGTACTTTCCAACCTACTTGCTTTTCTTTTCTTTCTCTGTCTGTTCTGTCCAGAACCAAACTGTCTTACTAACTGCCCCCTGGGAACTCTAGCCCTGCCGGCCTCACGCCGTAAGTGCTTTCTACCTTCTTTGCACACCGTCTGGAAAGGTCATCTGTGTAACCTGGGGTTGGTTGGCGTCAGAAATGCCACGATTCAGCCTCAGAAACAAGGCTGAATCGTGCCAGGTAGATCTGCCCTGACCATAGAGCCCACCACCTGCACTGGCCTACAGTCCACATTCAGGGACAGATGGGCAGGCCTAGACATTTCCAGCGGCTGCACAGAGTACCGAAGAAATCCTGCTGAGATTTCCACTCTCTGCTCTCATAGGAGTAAAAGTATATTGGCTGGAGAAGGGACTGTCTCTGGCAGAGAGGCCTGGTCAGTGGGGATCTGTGAGCCGAATGTGTTCCCAGTTGGCCTGCTCCTGCTCGCTGGTATCCTGGAGGCACACATACACTACTAGATGCTATAATGAGATGTGACCATAATTCGATGAGGCTTTTCTCTCTCTTTCAACAACCGCACCAGAAGGAATAAATCCAAATGTATCTTGTCCTTCGAAGTGATCACCATAGGTGATGTAGTAAGTGCTCAATAAATATTTGTTGGATGAATCAACAACAAAGCCATCCCTTGCTTCAAAAAATAGTCTCACAGAATTTCCATCTGAGCCTGAATCGAGGCATGTGAAAAAATACCAGTTTTTTTTTTTTTTTATTTAGTTATGATAGTCACAGAGAGAGAGAGAGAGAGAGAGGCAGAGACACAGGCAGAGGGAGAAGCAGGCCCCATGCACCGGGAGCCCGACGTGGGATTCGATCCAGGGTCTCCAGGATCGCGCCCCGGGCCAAAGGCAGGCGCCAAACCGCTGCGCCACCCAGGGATCCCAAAATACCAGTTTTATGTCTGATCACGAATTAGTCACCCACCCACCTCACCCACTAGTCTTAACTCAGAGTGTTAAATACAAAAATGCAGTTGGCTCTCAAAGACTAAAAAGGTGCTCTCAAGATAAAATGGCCACATAGCCGATTGCAGTGGCTTCTCAGGGAAGGATGGGACCATTTGCATGTATGTACTGGTGTGTTACTAAAGAAAGAGTCCATTCTTGAACCCGGTCACACATTTCTCCCTATAGGGGATCACATGATGAAGAAGTGGCACCACGCTGTCTAATCAAAAGCCCGTTCTGGCTCAGTATCGGCCAGGTGGCAGTGGGCTGCAGCGGTGTTGGAAAAAACCCATGATAGCAGCCATCTCAATATTCAGCACACCTGGCACACACCACACACTCATACATAGCAAATGCAGCACATGACACTCATGCACAAAATGACCCACGATGCACACATAACATATCCTCATACAAGGCACATACTTGTACACAACATGATGCCACACATACACAACACACTTATATACTACACAACATACACAATACAAACAACACACAAATCTGACAATAGGAGGAGCAGAGACGGAAAAAGACAAAGCAGTAGCAGGTGTCCTAAACCATGCACCTCCACGCATGTGCATAGCAGGGCTGAGGTGAGGAGAGGACAGCTCACCCCACCTAGTTTGCATTTCAGCTATTTCAGGCCTTTGTGGGCGAGGTCTTCCTGGTTGCCACGGTTCCCACCAGCCTAGCACTTTGCTAATCAAGGTTCCCCCATCCTCTGCTACAACTGCCGTCACAAGGAGGCCGGGGATGTTTAGAAGTATCTCAGTGTTCATGCCATTTCCCGTGGGGCCCACGGGGAAGCAAGGCCCACCTCACTCCATCACTCTTCCAGAAGCCCCAAGGCGGCGCTCTGCCTCCCCTCTTCTCCTTAGTCCTCACTGTGCCCATGGATACAGCCCACCGTCTCTTCTCCACTGTCACTCCCTGCTCTGCAGACTAAACCCTCCTCATCCTGGCCTCTGCACTTGCTTGTCACGTCTATGTCCGTCCTCTGATGTCCTTCCCTTCAGGCTCTGAGAGCCTGTATTCGCTGTCATTCTTCATTGCAGTGGCTTACCATCTCAGCTTTTTCTTGTTTGAGTGTCACCTGGGCAGGTGGGTTCCGCCCGGTGAACTTGGGTTTCCTCCCACCACCCCCACTCTTCGTGCACCAGCAGACTCCAGGTTTGGGCATCCTTGTTTCCTAGCCTGCAGACTGAGGACAAGTAGCTGGACATTTGTTAACACCAGAAAAGGAGCATTGGCCCTGGGAAGATGTATTATAGGTGGTCTGCCCCACAGTTGAGTGTGTCTTGCATTATCTGTTCTCAGAAGGCGTAGGATGCCTGTAACAGAAGCACAAGCACACGCTGATGCCACTTTCTAAAATGCTGCAGCAGGGAAGAGTCATTAAAAACCAGACCGAAGTTAAAATTTCTGCCTGCAGCATTTTTTTTTCCATGTTGTGGGAGTTTGTTTAACCCACTGTCAGTCAACTTGGAATAAACAGTAGCAGAGTTCGTTTTAAGGTGAGTCTTTTTGCTAATACAGCTGGATAAATCATCCATCTCTTCATGGGCCTCCAACAGACCAAAGGGTAGGGAGACTGGCCTTTTAGGGCCAGGTCACTGTGGCTAATAGATCACTCAGGAGGGCCAGAAGGATGGGGTCAGCCAAGTCAGAACATGACCAGGTGGCCTGTGGCTTTCCCCCACCTTCCATAGGCTCTAGCCCAATTCTGAAGATGCTTGTGTAAACCTACCCATCTCACAGCATTGCCATATTTTGATCATAATTTGCTGTCTTCTCATTCCTCTGTCACTGATCATCTGTTTGAATTTTTCACTGACCATTTTGTTATTCTCCTGGAGCAAGTATAAATTAACATTGGGAAGTTGCCCCTAATCCATTGCATTTAACTGGAGTCTGTTGAGAAGTGTGTTTGGGGAGAGTCACCCCCTTCCCCCACAAAGGAACTGTGGTTCTGAGTAACCCTGTCTTTCTCTTTCTCGGCTTTGAAGGAACTACCTTGTTCCGCACTAGCCCCATCCCTAGAACCCTGCTTCTCCAGGCCCGAGAGACCAGCAAACCGTCGCCTTCCGTCCCGTTGGGCCTCACATTCCCCCACTGCCTCACTGGCTCAGTCACCCGGAGACCCAGCCTCCTTGGAGGAGCTCTGCGATGAGGAGCCACCGGGGGAGAAGACACACCTGTGAGGAGTGCAAGTTTGCATGGATTATCAGGGAATGATTCCCTGTAATTTGCATAACCACGCAGTCATCAACCAAGCTCCACCCACAAGGAAAGATCTAGCTTTCCCAAGGTCAAAGAATGTTTTTAAAAAACACAGCTGCTGAATGTCCAACCTGTGAACCTGAGATGTTTCTAGAACGAAACCGTAAACGTGCCTGTAATAACTTAATTTTTTTCATAGCTCAGAAAACTATTTTTGTCTCCATCTTTTTTACACAGTATATTAAACAAAAAAGCTAGATAAGATATAAATTTAAAAAATAAAAGTTTTAAAAATGTACATTTTAAGAGATTCTGAACACCCTTGCTCTCAATACTGACTGCCTCTCTGTTAAATTTGCACTGTTACGCCTTGGTTTGATTTGTTCCCACATTGAAGTAGAGTGTTTTAAGTTAACTTCATTTTGTCAGTGTTCTTGTTTTTTAAGAATTTTTGAAATGCTTCAGACTGATTCAGTGAACTTTTTGTAGTGAAAAAGCCATGAAGCCAGTCGACAAGACAGATATCCTCTCTACTGGAGGGGATACACGTCAGCATTCTTGCAAAGGTACAGAGTCCTCAGCTGGGCTTACCAAATTTGCTGTATAATCCACGTACTCTACTCGACTTGCATGTCTTTGGGTTCGAAGCGCTCTGGGATGCATGTACATACTGCTACTGTGGTCCTACCATTGCGTAAGTGTGAGTCATCTGTCCCACTGTAATACGTTGTGAATCCCTCGTACTGTACTTTCATCGTTGTCCTCTTGCATTGAGATACAACAGCAATGGCATTTTTAAATTATTGTTAAAGATGAACTGGCAATATACAGTGTTTACTCAAAATTTTCTTGTTTAAGGAAAAGCACTACAAAAAGTCCGGAGGGTACCAAACTGAAGCAAAGGATGGTCCCTCAGAGTCTGTATGAGACAATGATGAAGTAGAAATAAAACCTTTCAAGATGGCAGCCTGTTCAGGGACCTCATGTTTCACATGCCATCCATCTTCCCCTAAGGGCTCAAGCAATAGTTTTCCATAGCCAGGGGAATGAGGAAAAGGGGAGGTCCTGTAAAGAGGCAACAGCTGCTAACACACCTCACTGGGGGTACACCGTGAGCACCTGGTATGCCACAGCTTCCCTGTTCTCCATAAGAGCGCCCTGGGGTTGATGACAAGGCAACTTCTGGTTGAAAACATGGCGGGCATGGAGGTGTGAGGCAACTGTTACCCACAAGTCAAAATGTGCCTCTCTCTCCCTCTCCCCTCCCTGGGAAAGGGGGAGTGGCCAATCACCAGGACCCGCTTCCCTCCCTGACAAAGAGGTGTCACCCGGCCTGTCAGTGTGTAACAGAGTAGGGGGTTTATAAAGAGGTGATGCTGGTAAAGAGTGAAAGAACTACTTTAGGGCCAAAGCTTCTGGCCTTTATGTTCCATTGACTCAACAGTGCTGTCCTTCTCTAGACTGGCTAAAAGAATAAGCTCTATTCCCAGCATTACCACAGTTCTACCTTTAAGCTAAATATTTTCCCCCAAAATGGAAAATACCATCTATTGGTGAGGACATGGAGATGCTGGAACCCTGGGGTGCTGTTTGTGCAGCTGCTGTGGAGAACAGCATGATGGGTCCTGAGGTGAAACAATTACCTGTGCCCCAGTAGCTGTGGCCACAGGCCCAGAAGAAATGAAAGCTGGGACTTGAACTATCTGTGCACTGATAGTCACAGCAGCACGATCCACAAAGCCAACCGGTGGAAACAACCTGTCAATCAGTGAGTGAGTAAATGAGATGTGGTGTGTACATGCTCCGGAATGTTCAGCCTTAGAAAGCCAGGGAAGTCTGGCACATGCTGCCTACCACATGCACCAATCATGAGGATGCTATGGTAAATGAAATAATCACAAAATAATCACAAAAATAACTATTGTATGATTCCACTTCTTGGAAGTACATAAAGTAGTCAAATTCACAGATACAAAAAGTAAAATAATGGTTACCAGGGGTTGGGGAGAGGAAAGAATGGAGAGTTAGTGTTTAGTGGATATGGTTTCTGATTGGGATGTTCTGGCAACAGATAGTGGTGATGATTACACAACAATGTGAATGTCCCTAATGCCACCAAACTCTACACTTAAAATGATTAAAATGGTGAATGTCAACGTATATTTTACCACAATAACAATGTTTAATGCAAAAAATACTCCACCTGACTACTCTAGACCTAGCTGCAAACAAACTGCCAAGTCAGCAAACCTTTTGTGCCTACCATGTGCCCACAGTAAATGCTGGAAGGTGCATTAGTGTATCTCCAGTTGGAAGCAACCAACCAGCAGGAAGAAGGGAAGTTGTTGGCCCTCATAAGTGGAGAAGTGCTAGCATCAAGCACGGTTACAATCCAGAGCCTCCGACAGTGCCATCAGGACTCTGTTCCGCCCCCGGCTCTGCTCCCTTCTGTGGGCTCGCTTCTCAATCATCTGAGAGGCAGCTACGATGGTCCTCAGCAGCCCCTATTGGTTTATCAACTCATGGATAAAGAAGATCTCTTTCTGGTGGCTCCAGCAAAAGCCCCAGGTGCCATAAATCTCATGGGTCTCCTGTAACTCACATGTCACTCCCTGAGCCAGTCGCTGACACGTTTGCCCAGCAGAGGAGAACCAGAGGTTGGCAGAACAGAGGAGAAGTTGCCTGGCAGGCAGCGCAGGTTGTGTACGACTACGGGGTGCCCCAGAGTTAGAAGAGGTCTGGTCATCAGAAAAAACACGCGATCTGGTTGGAGGAGATAAAATTCCCAAGCACTAAAACAAAATGCAAGAACGCTGTGGTATAAATCCTAAGTAGAGTAGGACTTGAGTTGGACCTCAAAAATGAGCAAGATTTCAGTGTAAAGGCAGGGAGAGATGTTGGGTTGGGAGAAGAGTAGGAGCAGAAGGTGAGGTGGTGGCAGTTGTCCATCAGAGCGGGACAGTAACAGGCTCTCAGGAGCAGAAGTGGAGCCTGGGGTGAGCAAAGCCACACCATGCTGGTCCCAGTGCCTTGAAAGCCAGCTTGGAACTTCTCCGATCACCCAATTTTCTAAGAGTTGGACATATGTATTCTTGAATCCATTTGTTGTGGAACTACTCCAGCTCCACAGCAAGACAGCAAGTCGGATGAAATCATGTTCTGTACTCCTGCCCAAGTGAATGGCTGGGCAGCTAAGCAGGTAATGCTGGGCTCTGAAAGAGGAGCATGTACATCAGGGCCCAGCCTGCAAGGAGTGTCTGCTGATGTCTTCAGGAAGCCGTCCTCAATGTGCCACTTGCTTTTATGTCCTCAAGAGAGAGGCAGAAACCAATTCCCGGAGCCCAGCTAGCAGCGCCCACACACGGGGCATGCCCTGCCCACTGGGTGGCAACCAGCACCAGCAGCCCAGAGACCATTCTCATCAAACTGTACTCGACCTGGGCTTTTTTTTTTTTAACATCTGTGCATTCTGTGATTCTAATTTTTATTTAGTACCTTTGTGTTTTAATGTCTTTCTAAAAAAAATATGTTAATTATTTATTTGAGAGAGAGAGAACAAGCTGGGGGAGGGTCAGGGAGAGCGAGGAGCAGACTCCCCACTGAGCAGAAAGCCTTATGTGGGGCTCAATCCCAGGACCCTGGGATCATGACCTGAGCCAAAGGCAGACACTCAACCGACTGAGCCCCCCAGATGCCCCTCAGCCTCTTTTTAAAAATTAAACTGGCTAGAATTGAGCATATTTACTTTGTTCAAAAAGTAGCTGAGCAGTACAAGTACTATTTTCTATTTTCTAACTCCCTGATTTTTTTCCTGATTTTTTTATTGTAAAATACACATAACATAAAATTTACCATTTTAACCATTTTAAAGTGTACAATTCCATGGCATTTAGAGCATTCGCAATGTGGTGCAACCATCAGCATTGTCTAAACCCAGAACATTTTTCAGCTCCCCCAAAAGGAAATAGGCATTTGGCAGTCAGTCCTCCCAGCCCTTGGCACCTGCGGATCTGTTTTCAGTCTGTGGATTTATCTATTCCAGATATTTCATATAAATGAAATCACACAATAGGTGGCCCTTTCTGTCTGGCTTCTTTCCCTTAGCATAGTGTTTTTGAGGTTCAGCCATACTGTAGCATGCATCAGTGCTTTGTCCTTTTATAGTTGGACACTCTTCCATTATATGGATATACTTACATGTTGTTTATTCATTCATCAGTTGATGGTAATGTGTCTACTTTTTTTTAAAAAGATTTTTATTTATTTATTCATGAGAGAGACACAGAGAGAGTCAGAGACACAGGCAGAGGGAGAAGCAGGCTCCATGCAGGGAGCCTGATGCAGGACTCAATCCCAGGACCCTGGTGTCATGACCTGAGCCAAAGGCAGACATTCAACCACTGAGCCACCCAGGCATTCCCCAGTGTGTCTGTTTTTAAAACAAAAGGACGTGCTTTGGTTATTTTAGGCAACCTTAAGCATTCCCCAGTTGCCAAAAGGAGGCAATTTGTGGATAATTAAGACACTCACCAATCAGTTTATGTGACTGAGGCACTTGGGTGTCTTTAACTTTTAGGCATAGTTGTTTCATGAGGCCACCAGTATGTCTTCTGCTTACCTTGCTTTTCTTTGGTTTGCATCTAGCCCTTTCCACATCTTTCTTTGAATGCAGTGTGCGCTGGAACCAGTGTAGCAAGATATCAGGCTGAGTCATAAGCGAGTTGGCTGTTTGAATGGATCTGATGACCCTGGGTCTGTAATACACCCTGGGTCACTAGAATCATTATGGCACCGGGAGTGGAAAAATCTGGATTTGAATTCTGCTTTAAACACTCAAAGTAGAGCAACCTTGGGCCAGCTCTTGAAGACTCCTTTGAAAAACAGCAACAGTAATACCTACTTCACGGGCTTGTGAGGATCAAGGTTTATTGTGTGTAAGATACTCTGCTAGGGGTTAAGAACCTCAGACATGATTAGAAAAGACAAGCTATGGATTTTGGAGAGCTGTGTCCTAGTGACAAGGACCGGGAGCACACAGGTGGGAGTGTGGTGGAGAGGAACTGAAAGGCGTCCCTGGGGAGACACCGTTTGAGCCAAGGCCTGAGCAAGGAGCAAGGAGCAGCTGTGAGGCTGCTGGGTCCTCACCAATAGCTGGTGCGAAGCTAGGATGAGGAGTGCGCATGAGCCCAGTGTGTTTCCAGAAGCGGAAGAAGGCCATTGTGGCCTGGGCAAGAGGGAGAGACAGGGGTTTGGGAGAGGCCCCGTGGCCCACAGGAAAGGGTTTGGATTTTCGGGTAGGTGGAGGAAAAAATCGACTGGGAGAATTTAAAGCAGGGGAATTACTTGTTAGAAGATTACAGTGATGTAAGGATAAGAACAGGCCAGGATTGGAAGGCTTCCTGGCCAACGACAGTTGTGTTGATCCAGAGAAGCCATGATGGTGGCTTGGGCAGTTTTTGTGCTCCTGTTCTTATAAGCCATGCCACCACCAGGATTGTCATTTGCTGCTCGTCAAGAACCAGGCTTTAGAATCTGCTGCTGAGAATTCTGCAGGCCCCACCACCTACCTCCAGAATCTACCCCAGTTGTTCAGATTAAAGCTGAATGAAGCCCCTATTCTGCGGCCTGGTCCTCTCAGGCGGGGCCAGCAGTCCTGCCCATGGCCTTGGGCCCAAAAGAACCGGTCTTCCTTCTTAACTGCTTTCCCTTCAGGGCCATAAAATCACACAGCAAGGCTTGTATTCCCGTGTTGTTGCATTTTGTTTTGTTTTTAGGCTCTGATCCTTCACAAGGAAGTTGGCGCTTCTGAGCTCTTATCCATCATTTGTAATTTAATACAAGTGGCTTGTCTCTGTAGGGGGACAGCTGAGGACTCCAGGCACAGGGATGCTTGGGGAGGGCTGGGGCCAAGCAGTGGTAAGGGCTGAACAACCTAATCTAAACGAATGGGATCAGAACACAAAAGC